AAAAAAAAAAAAAAGAAAAGAAAAGAAAAGAAAAAGAATCCCTTAAAATTGTGTAAGGATCAAGACCCACAAAACCAGGGGTTCTCAACCTGTGGGTTGCAACCCCTTTGGGTGTCGAACAACCTTTTCACAGGGGTCGCCTAAGACCCGCCTGCATATCAGATATTTACATTACGATTCACAACAGTAGAAAAATTAGAGTTATGAAGTAGCAACAAAAATAATTTTATGGTTGGGGTTCACCACAACATGAGGAACTGTATTAAAGGGTTGTGGCATTAGGAAGGTTGAGAACCACTGCAACAGAAGTGTCATCTGCTCCTGGCTGAATCCCTGCATTCTAACTGAATAGGCTAAGAAAGACAGTCCTGGTTTCTGCCTTGAGCCAGGTCTTATAACATGGGGAACTTACCAAACACAGGAAGGGTTTTTAAACAAGTTTAGTGACCCAAAACATGACAAAGTCTCTTACACTGTGTTCAGGTATATATTTGGCATTCAGGAATAGCACCTCTCTTGAACAAATATACTGAGGTTTTGGAAAGAAAATAAAGAAATAGGAGCACATAACAGAAATATTGCATATGGCTCGGCGCCTGTGGCTCAAGCGGCTAAGGCACCAGCCACATACACCTAAAGTGGTGGGTTTGAATCCAGCCCGGGCCAGCCAAACAACAATGATGGCTGCAACCAAAAAATAGCCAGGCATTGTGGCAGGCACCTGTGGTCCCAGCTACTTGGGAGGCTGAGGCAGGAGACTCTCTTGAGCCCAGGAGTTGTAGGTTGCTGTGAGCTGTGATGCCACAGCACTCTACCCAGGGGGACAGCTTGAGGCTTTGTCTCAAAAAAAAAAAAAGAAAAGAAATATTGCATAGACATGGTGAGAAATTAAATTGTACCTGAGAAGAGATGACCCTGAAAATTATCAGATTAGCATAGATAATTTTGAAGATGGTGATACCAATGACCAAGGTAGGGATCTCAGAGCTGAGACAGATTCAGGGAGGAATTGGTGAGACAGAGAGTTTGATTTACAACTTTCTAGAATTTAAATTGTATAAGACTTTGGAAGGACTAAAGTTAGCAGATCCATCAGTATTCATTCATCATCTCCTGGTACAGAATAAAGGGTAGCAAAACTTACATTTATAGATGGAACTTAGGGTCAAGGTTGTGTTGACAGATATTACCTGAATTTATTGCTGATGTATAATAACACTTCAGCTCTCAAATTATGCTTGGAACTTCATAAAAAAAAAAAAAGGAAAAAAAATACCCAATAGCAATAGTTTAAGAAGGTAAAATAAAATAATTGATTGAGTTAGAAAAAAAATCAATAAATGTAATTAAAGGACAGGTGTAATTAAAAGGCATATTCAGCTTGGTGGCGCCTGTAGCTCAAGCAGCCGAGGCGCCAGCCACATACAACAGAGCTGGCGGGTTCGAATGCAGCCTGGGCCTGCCAAACAATGACAACTGCAACCAAAAAATAGCCAGGTGATGTAGTGGGCACCTGTAGTCCCAGCTACTCTGAAGGCTGAGGCAAGAGAATCGCTTAAACCCATGAGTTTGAGGTTGCTGTGAGCTGTGACACCAGAACACTCTACCCAGGTAATAGCTTGAGGCTCTGTCTCAAAAAAAAAAAAAAAAAAATTGGAAAAAAAGAAGAGACCAGGGGGACAAGATACTTTGATTTTAACCTTTTTACTCTAAAAAAATGGCAAAACTAGGGAGGATTACGAAAGCAAAACATGGTTGGCTTTCAGAAACTATTTATAGGGAGCTTATCATGCTCCAAGAATTATACTAAATAGTTTACATAAACATTACTTTGTGTTCCTTTAAACAATCCAGTATGATAACATCTTTGTTCTCATTTTGCATATGGATAGACTGGGTCTTGGGGTAATTCAGTAACCTGTCTGCCTGCAGACAGTGGGCTGGATTCAAAAGCCCATGGTCTGAACCAGAGCATGATATTGCTTTCAGCACTCAATTATGCTGCCTTCACTCTGTGGCTGGAACTCACCCACATGGAAGGAGCATTATGCAAATATATATGCTTTGTTCCACCACAGCCATGGCCAGTTAAATTTATCTTCGATAGCCTGATGTCCTTACTAAGGAACAATGACCCATTCAGACTTGCACAAAAATAAGTGACTGAATAGACTGTGTTCCTCAAATGTCTGGCTTTTGGCACCTCTCCTGTTTGGGGTATAGAGCTTTTGTAAGGGAGGTACATGGCTTAATGTGAATTAATTTGAAAATCAGGAAGGGAAACGTTACTTGTGCTCCATATTCCACGAATTGCATATACTTCCTTTCCTCTCAAGTTGCAGGTAGGAGACTTAAGCCACTGGGCTCCAGGGAGCTGGGACCAGGAAGCTATGGGCATCCTTACAGGATGGTGAACTCCAGGCGTGTGGATGCTCAGTGCAAGTGGGGCAGAGAGGAACTAGATAAGGAGAGGCTGCAGGTTAACCATACCCTTTCTCTGTTTTATTCAGTGAAAACAACTGGACTTTTTTTTATTTTTTTAAGATAGGGGCTCACTCAGTCACCCCAGTAGCATCATCGTAGCTCACTACAGTTTTAAACTCTTGAGGCCAGGCAGTCCTTCTGCCTCAGCCTCCTGAGTAGCTGATACTACAGGTATGCACACAGGTATGCACCACACCCGACTACTTTTTCTATTTTTGGTGCAAATGGGCTCTTGCTCTTTCTCAGGCAGGTTTCAAACTCTTAACCACAAGCCACCTTGGCCTCCCAGAGTGCTAAGATTACAGACTTGAGCCAATGCATCTGGCTGCAACTGGATATTCCTGTTTAAAGTAACCACACCGCATTCCATAGCCCCTCTTATTGCCTACATTTTATTTTACCCCAGTTATTTTTCTTAGTTATTTGCTTATCATCTATCTGTTTCCTAGAACAACACAGATAATATCGCCTCCCATCCCTGCGTGAAAACTTGTTCTTGGGTGGCAAAAATTCTTACTCTTTCTATGTATAAAAAGCATAGATAGAGACCCGGCGCATAAGCAGATGCATTATATTTGTGGTATAGGATTTCACATCTGAAAATATTCCTCCGAGAACAATAATGAAAACCCGGGAGAGAAACACTATTCTAGTGGATTTGGAAGAGCAGGACGTGACATTCCTTGCAGGTTGTATGTCCAGGGTCTGGCAGTGTTGTGCCTAGAGTAAAAGCATAATAAATATTCTGAGGAATCAACTCTTCATTCCCCTTGTTGATGACAAATGACACTCTGTATCGCGTTACCATTATTTTAGAGGCAAGTGAAGCAGACTGCTAATAACTGTTAAAGTTATTATTTGAAAGGAGTTGGGAAAAGGAAAATATGTAAAGGTTTTTTTTTTTTCTGAAGAAAATTAAGCAGTCAGGGTAGGCGTGCCTACATACACAATCAAGGTTTCCACTCAGAAGGGAAATTGCTTCTCTATTTTTTCAGAAAGCTTCTCTGTCACAGGTTAGCTAGTGCTGACCTCTTAGATCTCTCCATGCTCGAGGCTCTGTCTCAAAAAAAAAAAAAAATGGCTTGGCGCCTGTGGCTCAAGTGGCTAAGGCGCCAGCCACATACACCTAAGGTGGCAGGTTCGAATCCAACC